ATCCCTGACTAAGGATCCTGAACGGGACCCTACAGCAGTTGCAAGGGCCATCTGGTCAATCGAAGGAGTCAAAGCTGCAACTGGAAGTGATGCAATACGGACTCGACGCTCATGCTGCTCAATCATCCCATACACCTCATAAAGAGAAGGAAGTGTCAACATCGACAAGATCTGAGAACGAGGTCCCTCAAACTCATCACGAAGCCCCATAAGGAACTTGTGAATCCTATCCTCCTGCTCTCGAGTATGCAAGAATGCTGCTCCCTCGGGCTCTATCTTCGGAATAGCAGCAAGAGGACGTAGAGACTCATACTCAAGCCAGCGTTGGGTCAAATAGCCATAATAATCCTGAACGGTCATATCTCCCTGCCGAGCATATGAGAGCTCCTGAGAAAGCTCATAAACACAAACTCCCCGTCCTGACTGAGAATACATCTCTGATAATGCGCTCCATAGCTTCGGAACAGAGCTATGAAACTGGTGGATCCTGCAAACAGAGGGCTCCATTGAGCCAAATAACCATCCAAGAATGGCACAGTTTTCAGAGAACCACGCAGAATATCCAGGGTCGGCATCAGCTGGCTTTGCGTGAGATCCCGTCAGCCAACCAAGCTTCCCTACACGGCCTAAGAAAAGCTGGAATGAGCGTGACCACTCAGCGAAGTTACGACCATTCAACAATTGTGCCGTAACTTTTTGAGAGATCATGCCCGGTAATGCTGGTAATGCAACTGTGCTAGTAGGCACTGTATACTGGTCAAACATAAAAGTGGAAGTACCCATAGATGTCTCAACGGTAGAGGTGTCAACAGTAGGGTTCTCAAGTCCCTCAGTAGTAGTCATATCAACAACAATACAAGGGCACCCGTGACAGAAAAATAACTCTAAGATAAATAGAGGAATAAAATAAGGGAGAACAATATACCTTCAGTCGAACAGTAGCGACAAATAAGGAAGGTCCAAAAAGCTCCCAAATAATCAAGTCACGGTGCCCAGAAATCCAATAAATATAAATGATCTACTGCATCAAGAGCAGATCAACAGACGGAGAAGAAGATTTAACCCCTCATAAAAAAAAAAATCCTAGATATTGTAACCTGGCAGCACTGTGATGAAGAGTGCAAACGAAGGTACAACAAAAAACACGACCCGGCAGTGGGCTGGGCAGCGACCCAGCAGTAGGCTAGGCACTTGGTTAATTTTTCGGTGTTAGGTTGTTTCGGTGGAAGGCTGAGGGCTGTAGGTGGAAGGCTAGGTATTGCGACTGTTTGGAGGTTTGGTTTATTAGTGGGTTGCTGGCTTCCTGGGTTGAATGGTCTGATTAGCTGGTTGGATCGTTGGACTTGGGCAGTGGGTCACTGGTGAGCAATCGGTGGAATGGGTTGCTAGTAGCTGTGTTCAATGGTTGTGTAGATTAGCAGGTAGTCAGTGAAGCCTAGGGGTACCTAGGTAGTGGGTTAGCTAGGGTTGGGTCGCTGCTAGGTTGGGATGGTATGTGATTTTCTGGGTTTGTCGGTGTTATGGGCAGTCGAATTTATGGGGGAGTGTCGGTGGATGGACAGATTATTGAGTTTGTCAGTAGATTGGTATGTGTTTTTTTTTTTTTTTTTTCGCTGGGCTGCTATTAGTGGAAGGATGGTGGCTTACCAGTAGGTTGTTGCAAGGAACCGGCAGTCGGTGGAGTTGGGTGAGCGGCGACTGTCTGGTTTGTTTTGCTGGGTGGTTATTGAGGCAGTCAATCGGTGGTTGGTGATATGGAGGCAGTCGGTGAGGATGTGATGTAGGCTAAAGGGGTTTAATATGTAGGCTAAAGGTTTTCGCTGGTAGGTGGGTCGCTGCAGTGGCTAATTTGGAGCAGTCACGGTGGCAATGTGGTGGCCGGTGGCTGTCAGCTGCAACGTGGAGGAGGGGCTAGGGTTAGGGTTACAGTTGTGGCTTTGATACCAACTTGGAATGAATGTGTGTGAAAAAGGGATACTCAAATTAAGAGTAGAGCCCCGTATATATATCCAAAAATAATACAGAGTGACTTAAACATCCTTGTAGTTTAGGCAAAATATAAAAATCTTAGTAAGGGTAAAAAAAGGGAAAAGAAATCCTAATAAACCTAGACTATCTATACTCCAACAGATATAAATGTTATAGTTCATGGGGCCAGAGACAGAACTTTGAGGAAGGCCCCCCCTCAAATTTTAGAAATTTTTATTATCCCCCTATATTTTCAAAAAATTTTATTATTAACCTCTCACTTTTCAAAACACCGAATCTGTAAGTATCTAACCCTAGTTAGGGGTGTCTATGGGCCGAGCCGAGATATGCTCACAAAATTCTTTTCAAGTCGGGTCTGGGTAGTGTAGATTCAATTCCTTACCCAAGTGAGTTATCTGGGCAAGCTGGGCCGGGTTTCGAGTAGGGGTAGGCTACCGACAGCCCAACCCATGAACCTATTGGGCAGGCTTGCTAAGCAGGCCTGCTCGCTGGTTTTTTTATATACAACTCATTTAAAAATAATGAATATTTTTATAATTTAATATTTATGTAAATTATATTTTTGAATCAAAAGTAGAGTCAAAATGGATAAAAATAAAATAATGTATAATTTTATTTTTGATTAGGGGATAAACTACTACCAATAGAATGAATACATATCAACTATGTTGACACCTACTCACTTATTTATCATTTGCATTACTCTACCTTTTAAAACTTATATGCTTAATACATGAAAAAGAAATAATATGTTATTTATAGTATTTAAATTTTTAAATTTAAAATTTTGATATTGAAAAACTTATTTCAAAGTTTCAAATTTAATAGTCTAAGGGTTTATTTGAATGAATTTTGGGGAGGGATTTGAATTGACTTTTCCAAACTCAAACCTCTCTTTACAAAGATGAGATTCAACATTCAATTCGGTTCATACTCATGTTTAGTATGCAACACATACACATGTAGGGTCCAAAAATATATCATAATTATTAACAACTATTTTTCCTATAAATTACTATTTTATCCTTAATCAATTTAATTCTTAAGGGATACAATTGTTTTTTGCATCCTTAACCTTTTACCCTTTACCCATCTTCCCAAACCCATCCCTCTCTTAGGTTTGACGAAATCTATGATCATGAGTTTAATCTTTGGGTCAATTACAGCTCGGGTTTGGGAACCCGAGATTGAACTTTTAATCCAAACATAGGATTTGAGAGTCTTTTGAACTATTTTTCTCAAACTCATCTTGCCAAGCCCCTCCATACCCCCTTACCAAACAACCCCTAAAAGTATAATTTTTTATCAAAGGAAGGGTGAGCGTGCTCTTGAGCCGAGTTTTAATAGGTTTTTTCGAACGGCTATTGGGCCAAGCCTTGGGTCAGGTAATGAGTTTGGGGGCAAACTCAAGCCCTCTTTTTAAAGATATTTGGCCGGGCTCAAGTGGAACAACTATCGGGCTTATCGCGTTTTAGACCTATTTTTTTCGAGCAGGATAATGGGACCCGTGGGTAACTCGTCCCATAGACACCCCTATATTCAGAAAGATCAATGACTTAATAATTAGTAACCATTTAAGATGTAATCACATGAATGAGTGACGTTTGTATTGAGGAAGACAATGATTGAATTATTTTGATGATGTAGAGAAAAAAACAAGTGATTTTTTTTATAAAAAAAATTGGGAGATAAATATAGTTTATATCTAAAGTAGTTAGTTGACTTATACTTTATTTTTATTATGGTATCCTATAAAACGATTATTTGTGACTCTTAATTTATTTATAGAATTAAGGTTACATTATAAACAAGAAAAAAAGAGAGGAGATTATCCCAAATGAATTTTTATGATGACATGAACCACTTTCGAGTTTTGTGTTCAAAAATAATTTTTTCGATGCCATTGCATAAAAATTAAATTTAATAGATTTTTTATAAAATAAAAATTTATAATTGACAATGATAGTTGAATAAACCTATTGAATTATTACACACAGATTCCTTGAAGTTTGTATACGCGTAACATTTAGACCCCCTGCTGTAAATATATATGTTAATAAATTATACTTAGACTCCCTGAAGTTTGTAAGTATATAATACTTAGATCTCTTAAGTTTAAAATATTATACTTAGACTAAAAATACTTCAATTAAAGATAGAATATCAAATATTTTAAATTTTACAACCAAAATTAAAGTTCTATTGTATCATTTATTAAAATACAATTAAAATTAAAAGTTTAATTTTTTCTTAAAAAATCGTAATTAGTATACAATTATACTATCTATTGGAATAAAACTAAAAAATTAAACAAATGGTCTAAGTCATTTGTAATAGAACATTAATTTTACATCCAAAATTTATGTTCTATTATGTCATTTATTGAAATAAAGTAAAAAAATAAAAGTCTAATTGTTTTTAAAAAAGTCATAGTTAGTATATAATTATACTATCTATTAAAATAAAACTAAAAAATTAAACAATGAGTCAAACTGTAATGCACACAATATCTTTTAGCTTTAATTGGGGTAGTTTTGTATTTTAATTTGGTCCTTTAAACGACCAAATTAAATTCTAATAGACAATATAATTGTATACTAATTATAATTTTTTAAGAAAAAAAATTGAATTTTTATTTTTGATTTTATTTCAATAAATAATACAATAGAACATAAATTTTGGTTGTAAAATTTAAAATATTTGATATTTTATCTTAATTGGAGTATTTATAGTCTAAATATAATATTTTAAACTTAAGAGGTCTAAGTATAATTTATTAACTAATATATTTACAGCAGCAGTTAAGTGTTACTTGTGCACAAACTTTAGGGGTCTGTGTGTAATATTTTAATTGTCAAGGGGTCTTAAATAACAAACCTTAGAAAATCTCGGTGTAATTCTCCCTAGATTTTTTTTTTTTAAGATCATGCAACATGGGTTGAACATTGGATTTAATTTAGACCAAAGGAAATTGTGTTGGCTCCTAAAATCATCTTGCTCAAATTTCAATTTGATTTGAATTTAGGAAAAACCCCAACCCAGATATCAGATAGTTCGGGTTGGAGTAGGCATGAGTTCGGGTTCGCCCGCGAAGTCGTAGTCCTAGCCAATGGCTCTGTCACTTTCCCCCACACCCCACGACATGGATGGCGAACTTAGGTCAGATGACGCGGCGACTCAGTCGGAGGAGGTGGTGGTGGTGGCTGATGATGTTGTCGCCGCGTCGACCTTGTCAGAAGTGGTGGTGGCTGATGATGATGCCACCCCAATCCCACCAAAAGTCTTCATCCATCGCGAGCTCGGATCACTTGACACAGCGGCGACTCTGGCGGAAGTGGTGGTGGCCGATGATGATGCAATCGCCGACGGTCATCCTCACTCTCGTAACCATCAAATTCCATCAACACTGGACACCAAGGTACACTCTTGTTGCTTTGAAATTTCATATCCTCATAAGCATGCATGAATTTTCTTTTCTTTTTGACTTCCTTTTTCTGGGCATTTCGGTTTTGGTACTTCGCTAATGGGTTCCATTTTTCACGTTTGCATTGCACTTTGTAGCTGGAGCAATGATAGTTGAACTTGATCATGGAGAGCACTTTGAATTTGTAGCTTGCTACTTTGTATTGCTTTCACTGTACTGCTTTAAATAAGGTTTTTTTTTTGTAAAAGCTAATTCCTCAATAAAATTCTTTTATTTATTTAAAAGGGCAAAATGGAAAAACAAAAAACCGTACTTAGGGACATTTGCACGCGTTCTCATCGTAGTTTAAGCTGCTGCACTAAAATTTTCACAGTAAAAACATCTTTAACCCAGCTCTCCAAAATAACTAGTCAAAATATATTTAATTATTACATTCTCTACATTAGCTTGCCACTTTTACAAATTCATTTCAACCACACTCTATTTTTGCTAATTACTTCACTCAACTTTCATTAACTTTCAATAATTTAAATGAAACAACAAATATATAGGGAGAGATAGAGGTAGGGAGAAAATTTAGAGAGGCTAAATGACTCTCTACATTTAGAGAGCCATTTGGGAGAAAATTTTGTGTTTGACTAGCAAAAATAGCTAAAAGAGAGGAAATTGAGAGTGGGTTGGAGATGCTCTATGTATAATCTACTAAAAACATGTGTAAGACACCAAGGATGTGTTTGGTATTGTTTTTGTTTTTGTGTTTTCAAAAACATAAAAAACAAATTTTTATTTTTTTCTGTGGTAAAAATAGAAAATAGAAAACATGTTTGGCAGTTATTTATGTTTAACAAATTATGAAAAAAAATAAAAATATATTTGGCAACCAATTCAATTATCAGGGACACTCTTTCTTTCATTTGCTTTTCTTTGAAAATGCTATGCTTTCTTCTAAACTCATCAATTATCAACCAACATAAGGAAATAGGAAAACATAAGCACTTTTCTATGCATATACACCCTTAGATGCTCATTAATCATCATCAACCTCACGTGGTTTGTACTCTGAGTAGTATGTCCAGCTCCCGACAATATCAAAATGCACTTTTCTTTTTGGTTTTTTGAATAACAGAAAATTGAGTATATTATTCCCAACAAGTTACTTGAGACATGTTGACAAATTCTGAAGGAATTAATCAAAACATAAGGTTTCCAAGACACACACACACACACACACACACCTCACCCCCCACCCATCCAGAAACACACACACACACACACACACAAATCAACAAATATACACACAAAAAAACACAAAGACACACAAACACACAAAAACCCACACAGACACACATACACCCTTAGATGAGGTCATGTCAAGCAACATATTACAATATATATGTAGATCTATATATATATATATATATATATATATATATGCATAGATTTATGTATATATATACTGCAAAGGTAAAAAAATTATCTTCCACTAATAGATGAGGTCGAGTATGAGATTCAAAGAGGGAGATTATGCTAGATCTGAGCTTGAGAAATAGAGATGAGGGAGAGATAGAGATGATCTGACCTTCGATTTTTTCGTTTGGTAGCGACATGGACGAGAGAGAGAGATAGACGAGCTTGAGAAACAGACGAAATAGATAGATGTGGGAGATAAGAGGGCTTTTATAGTTCCAACAAAAATTCGTGGTTTTGGTGCTAATGGGGTTCGATTTATGGACCTCATTAAAGGCCCCCTTGGTGCGTGTTTCCATTTTTTGTTGTTTTTGAAAACATCAATTTTTTGTTTTCAAAATTTGGACTTGTTTTCAAAACAAGGTAGTTGAAAAAAAACAGAAACAAAAAAAAAAATAGAACAGTTACCAAACGCAACCAAATCTTCCAAATTTATAACATACAATTTTGAAACTACCCTTGTTTCTTCTCTTTTTCTTTCCACTCATTCCTTAGACACCCATCTCTCTCTCTCTAAGAAAACCCACCATCCTTTCTCTGTCTCTCTGTGCAAACCCACCATCTTTCTCTCTCTCTCTCTGTGAACAAACCCACCCATCTCAAAACTCCCTCACCCCTTATCCCCACCACTTACCACCAAAAACCTCAATCCCCACCCACCGTAACTCCTTCCTTCCCTAAATCTCCTTAGCTCACTCTCTTTCTCCTTCTATTAAAGCCTTTAAAAACCTTCTATGCCATCCTTCTCTTCTCTCTCTCTGTGCAAAGCCCTTGCCAGAATCTACCGCAAACATATCACAAAACCTGGCCCTGAAAACCGATGAAAACCGGTAATCCTATCACAAAATTTGACCCTAAACACCGATGAAAACCTATCTGAGACCATCGCCCATGCCACTTCATTACATCTGCACCCATTGCAACCGTAAGTTTGAAACACTACACTAATTCTCTCCCAAATTTACGGTTTGGGATTGGGCTTCTGTTGGGTTTGCTGTGTCGATTCAGGTGGTCGTAATTTGGCGCACCACTGATGTTTATGCTGGTTTTGGGGATTTTAAGTTTATGAGCACAAGATGATCTTATTGAAATTGAAAACAAATGATTGGGAGAGGGAGAGGTAGAGGGTTTGAGTTAAAAAATGGCATTCCTTTAAAAATTGAATGTAACAATGAGGGTATCTACGAGAAGGTTGCGCAAATGATCCTAAGTAACTTTTTTTTTTTTTCCATTTTTCCCTATTAAAAAACCGCTTCATATTTTAGATATGCTTGTGTAATATTCTCTCTCTTTCTCAGTTCTTTTTTATTTCCTAATTTTATTATTTCTTTTTTAGGGGAAATATTTTTTAGCAAAATTTTATTGGATATTCTATACTTCTATATAAGTAAAATACATTAGCTAGTGAATGTGTTATGTTTCTTTGGCTTTCTCAAATTTTAGTAATTGACATGCATGAGGACGTTATGTGTATTTTGAGGATGGATCCTAGATTCCATTAACTAGTAAAAACCAAGTTACAAACTCCAGGATTAATGTGTCACAATCGCAGATTGAAGAAGTAAAAGTGAGACTGAACCAATATTTTAGGACCACCATCACACGTGTATTTATATTCTTACACCTATATGTTGATCTTTTAAGTTGTCTTTTATCTTTCTCCGGGAAACAAAGTTATTAATTAGGTCAAAAGCTGTTTCATATACTAGATATGTTAGTCTAGTATTCTTTCTCTTTCTCTGCTCTTTTTGGTTCAATTTTAATATTTCTTTTATATTGGAATTTGTTGTGATTCAGAATTTTATTAGTTTGAATTGATAATTCCTGTAGTTAAAACCAGTAATGGGATGGAAGTTATTTATTTGTCAAAACTGTGTAAAGTTTAGTGATATGTAATCTTATTTCTCTTCTTTCTCTCTCTCTCTCTCTATATATATATATAATATATATATATATATATATGCGTGTGTGTATATATATGTATTCGACTCAGCTCAACAAAACCTTGTCTTAACATTTTTGGGGTTGACTACATAAATCTTGTTTTACCATTGTGATCTATGAAGGGCCATGTTTTCTTTTAAACTTTAAGTTATCATATATTTCTTTACTATTTTATTTAAAGTTAATTCAGGTTTTCCTCGTCAATAGCTATTATATTACCTTTTTCTCACCGGTGCCGTTATACGCCGTCAATAAATATGTCTAATCTATCTAAATCGATTCTCCCTTGATTTGTTTCTTATATGTGCCACTCTGCTTTTTTACGGTTATATTCATTCATAGTTATATCCTTTTTAGTTTTACCCCACATCCATCTTAGCATTCTTATCTCCGTCACACTCAATTTTTAACGTGTTGTTTCTTAGTTGCCTAACACTCAGTATTATAATACATAATGGGTCGTATGACCATTCTGTAAAACGTTCCTTTTAGATTAAGGGTATATGTTTATCACACAATACACCGAATGCATTTCTCCATTTAGTCCGTCCTACATAAATTCTATAGGTAACATTGGCACCAATCTCACATTCTCTATTAGTAATTTACCTCATACTAAAATTACATTCCATACATTATGTTTTAGCCTATTTATCCTAAATCTTTTTGATTCAAGAGCTTCTCGCCATATTGCTTGTTTATTACTTATTCTGTCTTTACTTTCATCAATGTGCCTAGTCAATTCAATCATAATCAATGCAAAAATATATGGATTCAAAGAAGAATCGTAATGTAAGCCGACAGTGCTTGGGAATTCATTAGGTTTTCTTGTTGTTGTTCTTACTAAAGTTACTACATCTCAATATATATCCTTAATCACATCAGTCAGATCAATATACCTGACAGTAACATTTTTCATCTCTAAAGCTATCCATAACATATCTCTAGGAAACTAAAAAATCATATGAATGCCCTTATTTTTCTCTCTATACATCTCCATTAGTTTCTGAAGTAAATATATAGTTTTCATTGCTGATCTCGAAGACATAAATCCAATCTGAATTCATTGCTGAACGAAAATATGTATTTTCTCTAATCTCCCAATGATTTCTATAGTCCTCAATGGCTGAGATCCTCATATAATCTTCATTTTAGCAACTTTTCGGAGTAATTCTTTCATCTTTCTCTAATTTTTCCTCGTTTTGTGCCAAAATCCTAGAGTCATCACTCTTAATATATTTAATATGATTAATATTTCTAGTTTTTCTTTCTCTTGATTTAACAAGTTTATATATACTTTTTCTCGCCATCATCTGTGTCTAGTTTAGAGTAAAGGTATTCATGTGTAACTTTAAAAGTTCTCTTCGTATTTAGTTTTTTGCCATGTTTTCTAGTACCAAGTTTCTTGATTCTCCATCAACCTCAATAACTACTTTTTTAATATGTTTCACCATCGTTTTCAAGATTTTTAATCTCTTTTTTGTATCTCTATGTTGTGTGGTTAAGTTCTTGCCGTGAATGACTATAAGCATGATCTATGATCACTCGTCTAGTTAGGAAAAAATCACTTTTATTTAATCCATTTTTGAAAGTTATTAAATGTTTATCCCTTTTTTTAAAATACATATTTTCTATCATAGATCATATCCTATAGCATTCGTATCTCCAACAACATTCCTCTCTCCAATTTCATGTCCACCATGTACCCTCTCATATACAATTGGATCCTTTTCTATGTGGCCATTAAAGTCACTTCCTATGTATACTCTTTCTACTATAGGTATTGCTTTCATTAGTTCATCTATATCCTTCGAAAATTGAGATTTAATGTGTTCATCTAATCCTCTTTGAGGTGCGTATGCACTAACTATGTGTGTGCGTGTGTGTGTGTGTTTATGCACACATATTCTTCTTTTTTACGTGTTTTGTTGTCTATTTGATGCAAATTTATTGGGGCTTTTAAAAAATTTACTGATCTGTAATTATAATTTTAGAAGTTATATGATGTCAAGCAACAATGATATTGATTTGTTAAAGAACTATCTTTTGCTTTAGATACTTGTAACACAAGTTGCATCTTTGTTTTTTTCTTCTCAACACTTATTTGGAAGTATTGTCAAAGCGTAATATTAATAAATGTTACGACACCCGCTATGAATTGCAAAATACTCATCAAAAGAAAATTTTCAAATTGGCTTAAAGTTATTTCTTTAGTCGGTAAGTCCTTTTTTTAGTTGGATGTGGGGAAGCAAGACAGTGAAACAGAGAAATGGTTAATATATTTTTCTTTTTTATGGGGGGGGGGGTGTTTAATGTGTGTATGTGAGATGGTATCCCAATGGAGAAGTGGCAAATCTAGTGGCCTGCTAAAAGGTAGAACACCACCAAGTGGAAACAAAACCCTGCTCTCCTTATTTTATCGTAATAAATATTGATTTGAAGTTAATTTTAATTCTTAACCAATGTAGAAGTGTTCAAACTTCAGACTGCTGTAATTTCAATTTCTCTGTTGGTCCTTCTTAAGATGAAATTTGGTTATTTTTTTAATGGTCAAGTTAATTGTCTTTAAATTGTTATTTTTAAATTTTCCTTCCACTTTTTTGTGTGATGTATTGTACATAAATCTGCATTTGGATCAGGGGAAGGGCCGATGGGGGACTCTGATACTTGCTTACAAGACATTAGGAGTCCTCTTTGGTGGGCTTCTGACCTCTCCACTTTATGTTTATCCTTCAATGCCATTGAAATCACCAACTGAAGATGACTACCTTGGAATCTACAGCATCATGTTCTGGACCCTCAGCCTAATTGGTATTATAAAGTATGCTAGCATGGCTCTCAAAGCTGATGATCACAGTGAAGGTATATGTTTATCAACAGAGTTAATATCTAAAGCTGTGGGATTTAGCGGCCTTTATGTGTCTGGATTTTTGTATTCTTCATATACTTATTTTTCTTCTTTTTTTCCCCGGAAGGTAAATGCTTATTTTTCACACGATCCTTAAATTAGAAAACTCTCCTCATGTTCATGCAATTCATTATTTATTTTTTTCTGTCTTGATATTTACTTTTAGCCCATCACAGTTATATTCTAGATTTTATCTTTTGTCTCTCTTGTTTGTGATAAAATCTTTACAACTAAAAGCTTGCTTTGCATTTCTGTCCCAGCATTCACCTCCTTGATTGCATACATTATGGGCCCTATTTCCTTTATGTTCAATATACATCTTTAGCCAAAAAAAGAACATGAGAGTTCAGTGTTGAATTTCAGTATAGGCTACTTGAATTAGATAAGCTGTCTGTTCATGATACTTGTCTGTATCATGTCAACAAATTTATTTGATGCCCTTTCCTTTTCTTAAACCCCACTACATCATCTACTTACCAATCTGTTTTTAGTTAGTGTGTTGAACATGTAGTCTTCCCTGCTTCTATAAAATTGTCAATGAAGAATCAGATCCTCAAGCTCTTGGTCTGCAATTTCACCGGGAGCCAAGGGATTGTGGAATCTGACACTGAATTCGTACCTATTTAGAAGCTTAAAACTTTCTCTTTCTTAGCAATTAACAGCAGTATAATCCATTTTGAGCATCAGAATCCTATCATATATTGGGTTTACATGCAGTTTTCAGTTATTTGGTGGTGTATTTGTCAAATATATTTTATCATCTGTTCATAGTTTGCATAAGACTTGTTAGGCGATCTCTATGATAGTAATAATATGGAAGAAATTGCAATAGGTTTGGGCTTTAGAAAGCTAGGAATGGTCATAGAGATGGGGTAAGTCGACAACCATGTGCTGATTCTGTTTTTTTTGATGAGAAACAATGATATCATTAAAATCAAAATGAAAGGTTGTACAAACAGCAGTCATGTTTTGACAAGTAGTCCAAAACAGCAACATCAGAAACAAAACAAAAATACATCATGAGAAAGAACAAAATATATACTTTCCCCATGAAGCTCTTTAATTTGCAGTAATGCAAAAAAAGGGAATATTTTTAAACTTCATCGACACCGAGGCCCAAAAAGAGGCCAAGAAAAAAAATCCTATTTCATAGTCCTTCAATCACCCCATATATGTCATAAAACATCCTCACATTTGTTTCCAACCAAATTCCCAAATGTTAGTAAAACATGCACATCGCCAAAGAATCTTCTTTCTTTTATTGTCTCCCCCGCAAATCCCATCCATACAAATCAGTGAGCAAATAGATCTTGGTACCACCCAACAAATACTCATATAACAAAATAACTTATTCCCAAGAGACAATGCAATGGAACAATGTAAAAATAAATGATCCAGACACCCGCAATTGCCTTTACACATAAAACACCATTGAGGTAGAAAACAAACCTTAGGATGTAGGCCTACAAATTCTTCTATTGAAGTCAACCATCGACCGAGTGGTTAGTGTTGGTGAGGTAGTTGAAAAGGAGAGGTACTAGAGGCCGGTAGGGAGATTAATATATCTCACATACTCGGTTGAATATTGCTTATCCAGTTGGTGTTGTCAGTCTATTCATATATGATCCTTGAACTTCCCATCTTGAAATTGTTTATCACATTTTGAGGTCGCTCAAGTCCGTTCTAAGAAAAGGGTTCTTGTTCTCCAATAATGACTCTTAAAACTGGAAGCATTTAGTGATGTAGACTGGGTAGGTTCAGTGGATGATTGACGGTCTGATTCATGTTATTGGACCAAGATTGGAGGAAATCATGTCACAGGGCGAAACAAGCAATGGTGGCAAGGTCTAGACCCTAACTGCCTCTCCTCTCTTCTCTAAACCCTAGCGGCAATCTAATTATTTCTTCTATTCTTTTAGGATTATTTTTTTGGGAGGGGATGAGGGTGTACCTTCCAAATCAATTTTTTGAATTTTAGGTATGAGATTAGGAAGATATAGCAAGTTATGGAATTATGATCTCCAAATCAATTTAGAAACTCCTTTTAAAGTTAAAATAATCTATTAAGGGTGTTTTAGTAATAAAATAAAGATGGACTTAACTACCTAAGGCAGTTACTCCTAATAGACTTAATGACAAATATATTTAAGCTATATACTTTAAGCCTTAAAGGACTCTAAAATATGACTGACCCTCAATTTTCTCAGAAAAATACTACAATTTTTAAAAGTTAGATAATAGATAGTGTTTGTCAATTGATTTGAATTGTAATGCACCAAAATTTGTGTGAGGAGATAATGACCTCAAATAAAAGTAATACAAAGGTAGTCATTCGGTCATGTCGTGATAGAATTTGCTCAACATATATCCACTCCATTTATAATCCTATATAATTGGATTTATACCATATATAGATTGCGTTTTGATATTTGTGTTGCGTTTAATCGGGTTCGTGTCGAGTTTTGTATTTGAGAGGTTTAATAACAAGGATTTAATAAGTCCACTCATTTATCCCCCAAATGTATTAAGACTATAGTCAAATTCATTAATTCTGTATTAATTCCGAATCGGGTTATCAGAGCGTACTTAAAATTGATTCTGATTAAAATTAGGGCCTAAAAATTTGAAAGATCCAAAAAACCTTTTGTAGGGGCCCCTAATTTTTTCTATCTGTTTGGTGGCCCTAGGCGGTGGCCTTAGTCGCCTATGCCTAGGGCTGGCCCTGCTCACCAGGTAACCTACCAATTCAAAAATTTTCTTTTTCTCTAAGTTTTGAGCACATTTAAAAAGATAATGTCAATAGAGTAGCAAAAAGCAAGTATTATTGCAAGTTAGTATGGCAATTGCAATGGTATAACACTCTGGCCAATTAGATTGAGTTTAAATATGAGGGCAACCATTTGCTGTAAGTAATTCCAAAGAATAGGTCTTTAACTAGTTTACCCATCCTAACCCCTTGATTAAAGAATCCCAAATGGGGCAATGGCATTGTTTTTTCCATGTTTAATAGTTTATCGACAAATACAACACTGCACCCTTTTGTTCTCAATTAGATAGCTTCTGTCCCTGATTCATTGTTGATTTGTTCAGAATGATTTATTGCAGGTGGAACATTTGCGTTGTATTCGTTACACTGTAGGAATATGAACATTGGAATTATTTCTTCCAAACACACAAATTCAAACTCAAGCCTTTCACGTGCTAACCTGTATGAGAGCTCTGAAAAGAAAAGTATGCTCGGCAAATTTCTTGCAAAAAGTGTAGTTGCCAGGAGGGTCTTGCTTTTTAATGCAATACTAGGCATGTGCATGCTAATTGGTGACGGTATACTTACTCCTGCAATCTCAGGTGTTTTGCATGGAACTTGTTCGACATTTTGCTGCAATCGGTTTTTGGATTTTCTTCATAGTGAATATTTTTGCTGTTGGCAATGTTTCCAATTTTTTAATTTTTTGCAGTGTTATCCGCAATTGATGGCATAAGAGTTCATTTTCCTTCAGTCAGCAAATGTAAGTATTGGTTCAAAATCCTATAATTCAAGGTATGGGCCAAAAATCTTGCTGGTCCTTCGTATGCCATCATCTATAATTGACTTGGCATCTTTCAAGATACCACATCCTTAAAATTGCAAGAACTAGTGATCAACATTGATGGTAATATAATGTTTTGGCCATTGTTGTTGACATAATTTTATGGGTTTTGTTGGCTGGCATTGTTTGCTTTTTAAATAGTGTGAACAAGAAGTTGAAATTTGAAGTTCTAATTGTAGCAAAGAGGCATTCCTCTACCTCAATTCCCTTATGCTGAAACTCAGGTTCTTGAGGAACCAGGAGGCCTTGATTCGAAGTATTGATTAATATCAATATGACTCAGCTGAGTCGTATCCGACTCGGCACGTTTTGAGCCGATACTCAATATCGTTGCAAGTCATGTATAAACTCCGAGTCTGGCACGACTCGATTGAGTCGTCTGCAAGTCTACCCTAAATCCCCGAGTTATAGTTATTGAATTGACCGATACTATTTTGCGGCGTTGCGGTATGACATGAATCTCTCGCTATGTTCAACTTCTTCTTTTAAGTTGTATCACCTAATATTACAACCGATGTGCCTCAGAGTCCTTCCAATTGATAGCTGATACCGCAACCTTGAACCATTTTGAACACTCAAAGAGTTGTGAACAGAAACCATGCAGATATCTTTTCTATCAATTAACATACTAAGCTTGCTTAAAACTACCATGAGAAGCATACTTTTCCTTGTATTTTTATAGGATATGCAAATGCCTTTGGAATAGCTTATAATTATATAAGTATGGGGCGACAAATAGTGCCAAGGTTAAGAGTAAACCAGATTGAAAAAAAATGTAGTAGCAACTGAACTTCAACGTCCTATGTAAGACTAGATGTTGTCAGTTGACTAAATTGATTGATCTTTCATTTTGGTTGTCTATGGATTACGTGGTATAATGGTATTGCATTCTTTAAAACTTGTCTCATTTTGCTGACAAATGCTCTGGTTTTCAACTTGCAGCTTTAGTCGAAGGCCTCTCTGCCATAGTTCTTATTGTTCTGTTCTTGATACAAAAGTTTCGAACCTCGCGAGTCAGTTTCCTTTTCTCCCACATCATGACTGTGTGGACTCTCACCACTACGATTGTTGGAATTTATAGTATTATACATCATTACCCAAGTATATTTAAAGCAATAATACCGCACTACATCTTCCGCTTCTTCTGGAAAAATGGAAAAGAAGGCTGGCTGTTGCTTGGAGGTACTGTGCTTTGCATCACAGGTGAGCTTCATTTGTGGCCTACCAAGTTAGAGATGAAAATTGACATGAATACCCTTGTACAACTTGACTGAATATATACAAAGTTGATCCTAATTCAGCTCTAGAGTTGAAGATGCAGCCAGATATTAGCTTATTCTAAGTTGTAGCGAGCTTGTATCTCACATCGAATGATTAGGATTACCCAGGGCCGGATTATATGTTTAAGGAGCCTCTCCACTCGTTGCCAATTGATTTTAGGTTTGATGCTCTAACATCGTATTAGAGCTGGGCCTTGGGTGCTTAGTGAGCCAATTCTTTTACCTATTTGAATTTCTCCAAATGCATGTTTGTCTGTTTGTTTTTTGGCCCCACGTGCGAGTCCGGGTCCCGTATAACAGAGGAAGTAAAGAGGGCTAATACCCCACTTCGATATGATTAGGATTACCCAAGGTTGGCTTATATGTGAAGAGACCTCTCCATTCATTGATAATTGGTTTTGGGTTGGATGCTCTAACAAATGAACTCCTGGAGAAACTTATAAAAGTCACAATGGTTATTCTTCTCACATAATCTGGGGATGTTTATCTGGTTTTCTTTGGTCATTTCAATATAACGTTACTTTTCACTATGTATCCAAAGTAAATTTAGGCACAGTGATGAGGTGATTATGAGATGGTGCCCCCATCCTCTATGGGCGACATTGCCTATCATACTACGTCTCATCTCTCTATCATACTACTCTCCACTCATTGATAATTGGTTTTGGGTTGGATGATCTAACAAATGAACTCCTAGAGAAACTTATAAAAGCCACAATGGTTTTTCTTCTCACATAATCTGGGGATGTTTATCTGGTTTTCTTTGGTCATTTCAATATAACGTTACTTTTCACTATGCATCCAAAGTAAATTTAGGCATAGTGACGAGGTGATTATGAGATGGTGTCCCCATCCTCTATGGGCGACATTGCCTATCATACTACGTCTCATCTCTCAATATTCTTGGAAACACACTTTCTGAATAGAGAAGAAAATTGGAAAAAAGAATTAATATACTGTTTCAAATTTTTTGTCATCTCTTCTATTCAGGTTCTGAAGCATTGTTTGCTGATCTAGATCATTTCAACAAGAGTTCCATTCAGGAGGTGTACTTAACTCTCTATCTATTGGATTTCCATATGTCCGTTGTTTTTGCAGTGGTTTCTAACACCTTTTCCCAACAGATAACATTTTTGTTCACTATATATCCGTCACTGGTTCTGACATATGCGGGGCAGACGGCATACCTGATCAGAAACCCAAATGATCATGATGATGGGTTTTACAAGTTCATACCGATGACAGTTTATTGGCCTATCTTTATCACAGCCATATTGGCAGCTATAGTTGCAAGTCAGTCACTGATTTCAGCCACTTTTTCTGTTATCAAGCAATGTGTTTTACTTGATTATCTCCCTCGTGTTAAGGTGGTGCACACATCCTCCAGCAAAGAAGGGGATGTTTACTCTCCAGAAGCCAACTACATCCTCATGATTCTTTGCGTTGCTGTCATTCTTATTTTTCGAAATGGGAACAATATCGGGGATGCCTTCGGTATGATATCTTATAAGCCATGCATCCTCATCTTCTTTAGATTGAGTACAATGTCCACAACTTTTGTCACTGGTTTTCAAGTCCTTTAGTTTTCCTTCAAAGTGATTTAGTTGCTTCCAGTTTGATGGTCTTTGTGAACCCCAAACTAATTGCTTTACCACTCCAGATTGCCATTATGTTTTTTTTTTACCAGTATCATATGATCTACAATTAGAATTAATTTAGGATAAATTTGTTAATTAATGTAGCCTTTTTACTTTAAATGTTTCTTTTCTTGATATCCAATATATTACCAATATATTTTTGGTTAATAGACAGTAAAAAGAAGAAAAGAAAATAGTAGATGCAAGTGAATTCTACTAGTTCTAGCAGTAGTTCTATTGATTCTCATGATTTTTTGAGATTAACTTATTTAGGTGCACACAATGAAATTTTTTCTATGTTATGTTCTGGTGGCAATCTATCTGACATTGTATTTTTTGGATGGATTACTAATCAATGTGTCATCCTTTACAGGTGGTGTTGTTAGTATGGTCATGCTCATCACCACCATACTGCTGACAATAGTAATGATCATTATTTGGAGAACGTCACCAGTTCTTGTCTCCTTTTACTTTGTTGTATTCTTTGTGGCGCAAGGACTCTATGCCATTGCCGTCTTTACCAAAATTCCGTGTGGTGGGTGGATCCCGTTTGCCATTTATTTTATTCTTGCTTTTATTATGTTTGGCTGGCACTACGGGAGGCAGAGAAAGATGGAGTATGAGTTAACCCATAAGTTAGATTTACACAGACTAGAAGTGTTGTTATCTGAGACAGATGTTCAGAGAGTTCCTGGGCTTGGCATCTTCTATAACAATGTACAAGATGGACTTACCCCAGTTATTGGTCATTATATAAAAACCATGAGATCTCTTCACAAGGTTACTATTTTTATGACACTTCGATACTTGTTGGTTCCTAAGGTTGCCCCACATGAGAAGATTGTTGTCCAGAAACTGGGCCTCAAAGGTTTATATGTGTGTGTGGTTCAGTACGGCGATGCAGATTTTCTTAATCTTGAAGGGGATGACTTTGTTAGTCAAGTTACTGACAGCTTGCGAGCTCTTATACATGATCGCTCTGATCGTGCACACCCAGTTGATTTAGAGGATGGTGAAATTTCGAATTTGGATGAGGCAAAGCATCTTGGTGTGGCTCATATTCGAGGGAAAACAAGGTTTTATATAGGCAAGAATTGTAGCTGGTTTGACAGAGTCATGCTTGCATTTTATGAGGTTATGCACAGTAATTGTAGGTCTGCACTGCCGGCTTTGGAGGTGCCACTAGCTCAGCGTATTGAGGTTGGAATGCTGTATGTGGCCTGAAAACTATAACATAATTTGAAATTCATCTTCTTTTTGCTCTGGGGAATTCCACAGAAGTTGGAGTGTTGTATGAAGGATTGAAAAGTGGATTGGACCACAACATTCATAACAAGTTTGAGAGGTATCATTTTGCCCATGTACTCTCAACCCACATACATATGAATGTGTATATGTATTACTGGATCCAATTAGTTCAAGTATCTGTTGATATACAACTTAATCGCGAATTAGAACTAAATTTAGTGTGGGTTGTTGAGTAGTTTACAGCTAACAAACATTAGTTGGTCATTCTTTCACCTTCAAATTTTGAATCATTAGGTAGAATTTATAAGGTGGTTTTGTATCAATATGCTAAAGATCTATTGTTTGGGTATCGATAAGCAGAGTCCAAGATGAACCTCTATAGCCTAGATTTTGCTGTAAAAGAATCAGCAAAATATTGTTTTCCTAAAATTTTGTGTATATTGTAGCCAAGTTTCACAACCATTGAGGTTTGTGTTTGGAGTTTGACTAAATAACATAGAAGTCGTAGGTTTGAATCTGTGGACAGTTGGTTTGTGCAAATAGTTGTAGAGTTTGGGTCTCTACCCCGCCATACCCCTTTAATAAAATCTACATCTGTTTAGTGAAGTATCACAACCCTTTGCTTGGCTTCTGTCTTCAAAGTAAAAAGAGGTGGCTCAATGTACAAGGCTTTAGGTCAGATGCAAAGAGGTTATTTTTGTGACTTGAATTCGTAACGTCCAGATTACAAGGGAGCAATATTACTGTTACATCAAGGCTCATCTTTAGATTACTATTATAAGATTGACCTCCTAAGAGTATGATTGGAGAAAAGAAAAGTTGTTGGCATTGGAGTGTTACGAGTGTTCTGATGATGTACAAATTGGTTTTTGTACAAAATCAACAGTCAAGTGTATGAACGGGTGGAGTTAATGAGCAATAAATAAAGCAATTAATAATAAAGTTGTAAATAAGGAGTCAATACAGAGAATTATAGTGGTTCGATTCGAGTGACCTACTCTACTCTCGAGAACGGCAGCGGTGGCTGGAGATCTTTATTGATGTATAATGTTGCCAGGAGAACACTCCGAAAGAAATACAATGCTTTGGGAGAGAGAGAGAATAATGTGTGTAGAGAGGCAAAAACTCTAGATATAGTGTGTGTAGGAGTTTTAAGGTATAGAGGTCTCTATCTTGTCTGTCCGGTCCCCCTCCTTATGGAGGGAGCTTACATTATATAGGTTTAGTAAGGCGGTGAGGTGGTGACGTGAGGGAGAGGGTTTCTATCATTTTGGTAAGTATAGTTATGGTAGGATTTGATCTCCGTGTGTATCTTGATATTTTCTCCCTTGTGTCCCTATTTCATCAGAGGAGGACTCTCAGTTGGGTTGAATTTGATCCTGAGCTTGGACTTGAGTCAGAGTGACAGAGAGAAGATGGTGAAAGAGAGGCAGAGGGCCAACACCTGGGCGGTGCCCCTTGGTGTCCCCCTTAGAGGGCGCCGCCCCCTTAACTCCTCCTTGATGATTTAGACTCCTCCTTAGGCTCCTCATTGATCCTTGATGAGTGACGTGGGCCCCTTTTAATTCATTGGGTTGGTCCCTTCTTGGTGCTAGCTTGGCCTCATCTTGCTATTGTTTTTGGGCCTCATTAATTTATTGGGCTTGACCCAGTTAATTTCGGGCTCGTCATTTGTCTCTCATGCCCAAAGCATCTGACTTTTTACGATAGGAAGGGGTTGAGGGCATGTACTTCGTCTTCGCTTGAGTGAGTAGAAACTTTTTTGTTTTGCACGGTGCTTTTTCATCTTCGGAGACTTGCTGAATTTATAGGTATCACATAGAATTTTTTTTTTTTTTAAAGCATTCTGGCCCACATTAGTGGGCAACTTTTTAATACTAATAGGTAGAACCCACCATCATTGACTTTTTTTTTCTTTCTTTCTTTCTTGGGCGTTGGCCTCCTTTTTCTCTCCTTTTTTTTTTTTCCTTCCTTGGTTTCCCTGGGCGCCGCCTCCTTTCTCTTTCTCTTTTTGTTTTTTTTCTTATTTCTCCTTGCTTGGGCTGGGTGCCGCCTCCTTTGCCCTTTTCTCTCTTTTTTTTTTAATTTTTTTTCACTTATTGTTGTGCGTCGCCCTTCTCTAGTCTTTTTTTTTTTTTTTCTTTTTGTTGACTTCCTTTGGGCGTCGTCCCTTGCATCCTTCTCTTTTTTATTTTTTTAGCTTCCTTCCTTGGGCGCCGCCCTCTTGCCTTCTCTCTCTTTTTTTTTTTTTGGCTTTCTCCTTGGGCGATGCCTGCTGGTCAAGTGAGAGGGTCTTTTGGGCGCCAAGCATTGGGCGGCGGCAGGGCTGTGTGCTAGCTTGGGCGGCACCAGGAGGAGACTGTGATGGTGCTTCAAGTGATGCCAAGAGGCTGGTCAGGCGCCTTGGGCAACGCCAGGAGGCCTTGAGCAATACTGTGTTTGGGGGACGCCTTGAGTCTTGCTATGGGCGACGCCTTTGGTGCTTGCTCACTAATTGGCCTTGTCTCTAATTATAGGTGCCTTGTTGATAGAGCGATGGTGGAGACTCTTGTGCTTTTAGGGTGGTGTCTTCTCCTCCTTCCAAGAGGGCGAGGTTTGATGCCCCCAGTGTTTTTTGGCCAAGGTCCAATGACCAGGTTGTTTCTTGGGAGTGGAATCCGGTGGTGCCCCCACTCCTTCCCAGATTGAGGCTTCTGTGTGTATCAGAATTAGTCCTTGTACCGCTATAGGAGTTGAGGCTCCAGTGTAGTTTTTACGGGAACTGTGGCTTCACCCTGCTTCTAGTAGTGGCTCGGTTGCAGACGACCCGAGCTTCACCAGTGTGCCTGGCAAAAACAATGTTATCTCAACATTAAAATATCTAACATGATTACTTGGAGAGAAGGGTAGACTGTTTGTATGAGAGCAACGTCAGAACTGTGGATGTCTCGTGAGAGGGCCGCATGAGTTGAGGCCGAGCGACGTATAGTCTTAGGAGATGGCTGCCGTGACAGAGACTTGCACGTGAGCAGTCATAGAGGCCGAGCTACGTATAGTCTCGGGAGATGGCTGCCGTGGCAGAGACTTGCGTGAGAGCAGAGTCATAGGCCGAGCTACGTATAGTCTCGGGAGATGGTTGTCGTGGTAGAGGTTTACTAGGTGACTTGTGCGAGAGTAGAGTCATAGGCCGAGCTACGTATAGTTTCGGGAGATGGCTGTCGTGGTAGAGACTCGCGTGAGAGCAGAGTCATAGGCCAAACTATGTATAGTCTCGGGAGGTGGCTACCGTGACAGAGGCTTACTAAGTGACTTGCGCGAGAGCAGAGTCATAGGCCGAGCTACGTATAGTCTCGAGAAGTGGCTGCCATGGCAGAGGCTTACTAGGTGACTTGCACGAGAATAGAGTCATAGTCCAAGCATGGTAGACGCCTAAGGTGGAGAGGGTGAGACCCTTCATCTAGAAGGTATCATGAGAGGTGCCCAAGGTGGAGAGGGCGAGATCCCTCATTTGGGCGACATCATGGGGGCGCCCAAGGTAGAGAGGGCGAGACCCCTTGTCTGGAAGGCATCATGGGAGGTGCCCAAGGTGGAGAGGGCGAGACCTCTCGTCTGGGCGCCTGGTGATGACACCTTTTGTCTTTTTGTCTTCCTTGTTGTTAGGTCATGTTCTGACTTTTGTAAACTATTTGTAAATTTTAGGAAGATAATTTGGGTACAATAATCTTCACAGAGTTTTATTTCATAAAATAATAATAAATAACAAAATAAATTAACTGAAACAATAAAGGATTAATAAAATTTTAGGTGCTTGATTTCCCATAGGTGGGCCAAGACTTTCCTGGTGGAGTTGGAGTCGTCTCCTCCTCTTAGCCCTGAGGAGATTGTCTGGATTTCTCTGAGGGACTGTTGGCATTCTCTATCGCTCTAGTCCCGGCCAGGTGGTAGGGCTTGCCCTCTGCCAACAACGTACTGTCTCAACTAGCCACGTTGTATGAGCTCTTCAATCTGCCTTTTAAGATCAAAGCAGTCGTCCGTGTTCTGGCCATGGTCGCGATGGAAGCGGTAGTACTTGTTCAAGCTCCTTCGGTTTGAGGCGGTCTTCATCTTCTCTGGCCAGTGTACTGTAGGATCATCTTGTATTTGAAACAAGATATGCTCTACAGAAGCATTGAGTGGCGTGAAGGTTTGTCACTCTCTTAGAGGTGGGGGACCAAGGTGGTCCTTGATAGAGACTCTCTGTCTTATTCCTTTTGTTCTCTGCTTCTCCCATGTCTTTGCAGGTATCGGGCATGCTGGAGGGCGGCTTCTTAAGGACGGAGAACATGAAACTGGAGGTGCGAAGGCCAACAATAAAGGCGGCCAAGGCTACCTTGTCATCTGGCTCCTCAATCTGGAGAGCCTCCTCATTAAAACGGGCGAGGTAGTCTCTAAGGCTTTCATCCCTGTCCTGTTTGATGGTGAGCAGATGGGTCACAGGTTTCTTATGTCGATGTCCCCTGAAGAAGTGGGAGACAAAGGACCTACTTAGTTATACGAATAAGTGAATGGAGAAGGGCTTGATTTTTGCAAACCATTGGCGTGTGGTGGTAGGGAAGACTCTACACATAATCTCCTCAAGTACGTTGTGGAGTTGCATGAGAAATTTGTAGGTATCCAGGTGGTCGAGGGGGTCTTTGGTACTGTCAAAGACCTCGATGACAGACATCTTGAACTTCGAGGGTAGAGGATAATTGACAATATCAGCAACAAAAGGTGTATCTGTACGTCTTATCAGGTAATCCACCGTCTCGGACGCCTGGGCCTTGATTGCGTTGAGGGTGTCGTCGAGTTGGTTTTACACCTCTCTGATCTTCTAGTCCCATTGGTTGGGGACGTCCTCTGTCGGGTGGTGGTTTTGGCTTCCACGGTCCCCATGTTGGCTCTTTCCTTCTTCGTTCTCCTGCGCAGGTACGTGTGGAAGGGGAACATGTGAGCTCCCTGTGCGTTGAGGAGGGACTATTGGGCGAGGGGCTCCCTGGTGTGGCCTTGGGGAATTCTGGCGAGGGCCTCCATGGTGAGGGGCTCCCTGACGCCCAAAAAGGATAGACAGTTGCTCCTCTCCTGGTGGGGGCAGTAGGACTCCTCCTGCCAGAGGGGCGACGCCTCCTTGGGAGAGCATGAGTTGGATGATTTGCTAGTTCTGGCTCACCAGCAGTTGCATGGTCTGGAGGAGTTGTTGCTGCTGTTTAGCGGCGGGAGTAGTAGTAACAGATGGTTCTACAAGTGCAAGGGGAGGCGGAGTCCGGTGGGTCGGGTTGTTGTCTCCTGGCTGTTGACTCATTGATCTGGTAGTGATTGTCATGGATCAAAAGAGTAGGAAAACTAGTCGATTCCCACGGACGGCGCCAAACTGATGATGCACAAATTGATTTTTGTGCAAAATCAACAGTCAAATGTATGAATGGGTGGAGTTAATGAGCAATAAATAAAACAATCAATAATAAAGTTGTAAATAAGGAGCCAACACAGAGAATTATAGTGGTTTAGTCCGGTGACCTACTCCATTCTCGAGAACGACAGCGGTGGTCGGAGATCTTTATTGATGTATAATGTTGCCAGGAGAACACTGCAGGAGAAATACAATGCTTTGGGAGAGAGAGAGAGAACAATGTGTGTAGAGAGGCAAAAGCTCTAGGTGTAGTGTGTGTAGGAGTTTCAAGGTGTAGAGGTCTCTATCTTGTCTCTCCGGTCCCCCCCCCCCCCCTTATGGATGAAACTTACATTATATAGGCTTAGTAAGGCGGTGAGACAGTGACGTGAAGGAGAGGGTTTCTACCACTTTAGTAAGTATAGTTATGATAGGATTTGATCTCTGTGTGTATCCCGATATTTTCTCCCTCGTGTCCCTATTCCGTCGGAAGAGGACTCTCAGCTGGGTTGGATTTGATCCTGAGCTTGAACTTGAGTCAGAGTGGCAAACAGAAGATGGCGAAAGAGAGGCAGAGGACCAACACCTGGGCAGCGCCCTCTTGGGTGACCCCTTGGGTGGCGCCCCCTTGACTCCTCCTTGATGATTTAGGCTCCTCCTTAAGTTTCTCCTTGATCCTTGATGAGTGACGTGGGCCCCTCTTAAATCATTGAGCTGGTCCCTTCTTGGTGCTAGCTTGGCCCCATCTTGGTATTGTCTTTGGGCATCATTAATTTATTGGGCTTGACCTAGTTAATTTCGGGCTCATCTTGTTCATAAGTTTAAGAAAGAATTGTTAAGTTCTCACTGCAATTAAAATCTGCATATGTGAAACTGTTCTTTTGAATAATTAGTTGGAGCTGCTCAAAAAAAAAAAATTAATTGGAATGAGAGAATCTTGCTGTTGCTTATGCTTTTTGAGGCACCAAGAGGTGGATATGGTCCCTCATGATACCAAAAATTATACAAAAGACAATGAGATTCTAGAAGACAACAGACAATACATAAACTACTAGAAGGGGCCGGAAAAGACTTTCACCATCAAATCATACCTTGGGCAATAAGTCACACCAAATATTCTCCGATTATTCCCTTGATATTCTGTTATAAAAGACAATGATTACTATATAAAAAGGAATAAAAAACACAGAAAAAACCACATTGTACTCTTCTTCTTCAAGAAAATAATATATCATCAAGGAGCAAGAACTTTCATTAGAGTGGATTAGACAAACTTTTTAGCTGGTGAATCATTTATTTTCTTGTGTATTCTCATTCATTTTTACACACACACGACACACCTATCAATAGCTCATCCAACTCTCCACCTCATGCCTCTCGAATTTTTACCACCATCAGTTTGGCGCCGTTTGTGGGAAACAATTGTCTTCGTTTCTCCTTTAAATCTGAATTTTCTACTATTAGATTGATGGTCTTGACGAGAAGTATGAGTCGAAATCCCAAAAATCAGCCACGTGCTCCAACTCCACCAGCGAATCTGCCTCTAACGGAAGAGCAGAAAACCTACCAAGAAACCATATTGCTAAGGCAAAACAAACAGATCCATGGTGCAACCAAACTGCAAGAACATATTTGCCCAAGGTCAGATGTGACCTACTCGAAGCTAAGGACCGAGCTCTCAACAAGGAAAGCCTCCTTTAAACGGGTTCTATTTCTTCATCGCATTTGTCTATTCATTACACACTTTTGATATTAAAGTCTTGCACGTACTGTTGCTTTGAAAGGAAAAAAAAGGGGTAATTGAGGGGTTGGTTTACTGCAAAGTGGTCGTCTACTCCTCCACAGAAAAAATTCGTTGATTTTGTTCACCAATTTGGCTTCATTTTTATTATGTCCAATTATAATAACTTGTTTGCTAGTGGAAAGTAGAATAAGAACAACGACTAACCCTTACCAAGGAAATGATGGAGGTTGCCATGGCTTTTAGTGTCCTTGTTTTTAGCTTTTCATCGAAGGCATGGCCAACAGTATTTCTTGGAAAAAGAAGCTCTAACTTTATGAAATATTGTTATAGTGAGGCGTGGTCAATGCCCTATCTTGTGGAGAAAATTGGTTTAAAGAGCACCCCCAAGCAGCAGGAAAATTTTTAGAGATGGTCGCAAAAATAAAATAAAATAAAGAAATGAGCTGATTACTCAAGATGCCCCCAATCGACTCCAGAGGGACATAGGTAACGAGCTACCCACAAGCCATAGCTGCTCACTGGTTTTCTTGGGACATACTAAACCTTAGAAAAATTTACCTTGGACCACATCCCATTGTTGTTGACAACTTCACCAAACGACATGCCCAATGTACTATCCATAAGTTTGTGTATAAGTATGACCCTTGGGCCTGATCTCTGATAATATCGTCGTGGCCTTGAACTCGGCTAAACTGACTAGTGGTCGGTAACTCACCAAATCGAATTGACCCTAACCAAATGCCTATCTTGCCTTGGCTCATGAAAACAAGACTAGGCCAAAGTGGACTCGTTATCGACAATACAACCACTCACATAAAAAAAAGAAGAAGCTCTCTTCGCTATTGAATGTTGCAGGGCTTGCTTGTCAACTGGTCAGTCTTGCCTTTGAGCATCACTGATGGCGCTAGGAGGGCACACATTTGAGACACCATCATAATATTCCTTTGTGGATCATCTACATTTTTGTTAAGCACGACTTGAAAATCCCGTTGATCGACACAATCACCAACTCGAAAAATGGTCTATATTGGCCCAAAAGCTACTTGGCGGCATCGACGACAGCAGAAAATGATCCAAGACGTTGGTCCTATCAACTACAAACAAAATAGTTAAGAACACCAAGCATAGTATGGTTCATCTTCAAGCTCAGGGGACTCTCTTGCTCCCTTTTCAAGCCAAGCCAACGATGGATGACCTGGTTCTCCAGCCAAGGAATGACGTGGAAGAAAAGATCTGGCTTTTCAGTCAAGGAACGACTTGGTTCTTCAGTCAAGGGATGGCTAGGAAGGAATGACCTGACTCTTTAGCCAAGGGATGACTTCACTCTTCAGTTAAGGAATGACCTGACTTTTCAACCAAAGGATGACCTAGAAAGAATTACCTGACTCTTTAAGCCAAGGAATGACCTGACTCTTCAGCCAAGCAATGACCTGGAAGGAATGTTCTGGCTCTTTAGCCAAGGGATTACCTGGAAGGAACGACCTGACTCTTCAAGAGAAGGAACGACCTAGCTCTTCAAGCCAAGGAACAACCTAGCTCTTCAGCCAAGAAATGACCTAGAAGGAAAGAATTGGCTTTTCAGCCAAGGAACGACTTAGCTCTTTAGCCAAGGAATGACCTGGCTCTTTAGGCAAGGGATAACCTGAAAGGAATGATTTGACTCTTCAAACTAGGGAATGACCTGGTTCTTTAGCCAAGGGATGACCTAGCTCTTCAGCCAAGGAATGACCTGGAATAAATGACCTGGCTTTTCAGCCAAGGAAAGACCTGACTTTTTAGCCAAGGAACGACTTGACTCTTCAGCCAAGGAATAACCTAGAAGGAACGACCTATCTTTTCAGCAAAGGAACGACTTGGCTCTTTAGCAAAGGAATGACCTGGCTCTTCAACCAAGGAATGACCTGGCTCTTCAGTCAAGGAATGACCTAGCTCTTCAACTAAGGGATGACCTGAAAAGAATGACCTGACTCTTCAAGCCAAGGAATGACCTGACTCTTTAGCTAAGGAATGATGACATAGAAGGAATGACCTGGTTCTTCAAACAAGGAATGACCTGACTCTTCATCCTAGACTCTTTAGTTTAAAGAGCTCTTCAATCTCAACATTGTCAGGATCATCAGCCTTACATTCAATCAAGCTCGGCATTGGCATCTTGGACTTACCCAATTGACAATAAGCTTAAGGCTCACTCAAAAGCACAAAGTTTGGACTGCTTAGCCACAACAATTGAATTTGGGCTGGCCAACCCATCATAAACTTCTCAGGAGGCTCCTCAGGTCTAAAGCTAGTCAGCTCAACTTGGCTTCTCAGTCTAAAAGAAGAAGTTAGCTTAGCCTGCCTAAGTTCAAAACAAAACAAAGCTTTCAGGACTCATAGAGCTTCTTCGAAAAATCCCTCAGACTCCCAATCATCCTCGATTCGATCTGAAATGCTCAGCCCCAACCAATGGACAACTCAGGTTAGTCCTTGCTTGGGGCTGGGGGCAATTGATAATACCGAAAAATATACAAAAGGCAATGGGATTCTAGAAGACAACAGACAATACATAAACTACTAGAAGGGGCATAAAATGACTTTCACCATCAAGCCATACCTTGGGCAATAAGTCACACCAAATATTCTCCGAATATTTTCTAAATATTTCCCTGATATTCTATTATAAAAAGCAATGATCACTATGCAAAAAAGGGTAAAAAGCATGGAAAAAAAATCCTATTTTACTCTTCTTCTTCAAGAAAGCAATATACTATCAAGGAGCAAGAGCTTCCATTAGAGTGGATTAACTAAGTTTTTTAGCTGATGAACCACTTATTTTCTTGTGTATTCTCATTTATTTTTACACACACGACACACCCATCAAGAGCTCATCCAGCTCTCCACCTCACGTGTCTCGATTTTTTACCGCCATCAGTCTCAATTTAAGTTCTAGATCTTAAGCATGCCATGTTGGGACATACTCTGGATTTGTTATCAGGATGAACAAATTCTTTCGATAGGCCTTTAAGGGTACTAATGAACAGCTCATAAAGCTATATGATTGTTCCTTGAATATGTAATTCCTACTCTTTTCCATTGATATCTATACTAAATAATAAGAATAAGTTAGCTTGGAAACTTTTGATTGATCAATATATTCTTATTAAATAGGTAATAACATTGTTATAATTTCATAACTCAAAAAGTAATATTTACCAAAGATTATAAAATTACTTGGTACCATTGCTACCTGAAGGGGGTAATATGAACATCACATATAAAAGTTTAAATAAAGGGGTTTGAAGTACCTTTGACCTGTATCATGTAGGAATTTGTTGAACAGAATTTGATAAATTTGATGAATGTGGAGCTAGCCTTTGAGAATTAAAAATTCTAGTTGATATGAAAGCAGTAGAGTTGGAATTTTTCCTTAATGAGTTTTCTCACAAATTGAGTGTTTTTTTGGTGAGTTTTCTTTGTATACAGAGAACCTTATTTATAAGGGAGAATTTAACTAGCCGTTCAACTAGTCATTATCACTCAACATAATATCCTCAACTCCCCAATATTTTTTCAACTCCACCAGTATTTTCTCAACCATCTGCAGTCAAAATAGACTAATTATACTCTAAGTAGGATTGACTAGTCTTTCACTACTAGATGGGTCCCTCTAGCCAAGTCACCTATACTGACTAGAAAATATCCAACCCAAACATCAAATTATATCAATATAATATATGGATGCATGCATCATTATAGAATAATATTTAATACATAATAATTTCACAAAAAATGCATCTATGATATATGTCATAAATAATGCAATATTTGATTAACGAATTGGGATTTTATATATTTCGAATTTGACCACCAATCGTGACTTAATTAATATCGAGGAATTTTAGTCACATGTTCCAACATCTCCCATTTGGCTACAAGCTTGAAATATTCATTCACAACTTAAACCCATAGCAACGACATGTCGTTTAAATTCTTCAGTTCCAATAGGTTTTGTCAATGAGTCTGCAACCATATCTTTTGTACATAGATAATCATCAGTAACTTGCTTCTTTGTATTATATCACTTATATAGTGATATTGTAACTCTATATGCTTACCTTTAGGCCCAATTTTTCCATTTTTAATGATTTTTATCGCAATCTCATTATCACAAAAAATATGAATAGGCATATTATCTACACAAGCAAGCTTTAAATCAGTTAGAAACCATTTTAACCATATGGCCTTGGTGATAACCATACTACAAGCAACGTATTCAGCTTACATAGTACTTTTAGCTATGCAACCTTACTTTTTACTAGACCATAAAATAACACCACCACAAAAAATAAATATATAACCCACGATGTATTTTTTATCATCAATATCACCAGCAAAATCAGCATCACAATAGCCATTAACATTTATGTCATCATCTTGATATGTTAAAGAAAAATTTAATGTACCTTGTATGTTTTTAAGTACACGTTTTACAACAAACCAATGAGGTATACCTAGATTATTTTGATATCGACTAATCAAACCAACAACATAATAAAGATCTGGTCTAGTGCATAACATAACATATATAAGACTACCAACAACTTTCACATAAGGTTTTGATTTTATTTCTTGTATTTCTTCTTCAGTTTTAGGAGCCATATTTCTAGACAATTTTGCTCCTTTGTAAATGGGTGATTCAATAGGTTTGCAAGAATTCATTTTGAATTTCTTTAAAATATTTTCCAAATAAGATTTTTGAGATAAACTCAATTTTCTTTGTTTTCTATCTCTAGAAATTTTAATTCCAATTGCATAATGTGCTTCACCCATATCTTTCATTTCAAACTTGGTGTTTAACCATTCTTTTAGTTCTAAGGTTCTATTTATATCATTTTCGACAAGTAAAATATCATTCACATACAAGGAAACAATAATATAATAACTCTCACTATTCCAAGTACATATACAATGATTATAGTTATTTGGAATAAAATCATAAGATATAATTTCATTATGAAAAGTATGATACCATTGCCTTGAGAATTGTTTTAAGCCATATAAGGATTTATTCAATTTGTACACCTTATCTTCTTTACCTTCAACTTCATATCCTTGAGGTTGATACATCTAAATTTCTTCTTTAAGTTTACCATTAAGGAAAACAGTCTTAATATCCACTTGATGTAAGTCTAGGTCTAAGTATACAAATAAGGACATTAATATTCTTATTGAGCTAAACTTAGCTACGGAAGAATATGTTTCATCATAATCTATACCTTTCTTTTGTGTGTATCCTTTAACCACTAGTCTACTTTTATATTTATCTATAGATTCATCCATTTTAAATTTCTTTTTAAGGATCCATTTACACCCAATTACTTTTCTATCTATTGGTAAATCAACTAACTCCCAAACTTTGTTTTTATCTATAGATTCTATTTCTTCTTTAATTGTTTCTCTCCATTTTAGATGATCAATTGAATTTATAGCATCATTAAAATCAATAGGATCATTTGGAATATCTTCACTAGTGAATGCATAATAATCTTTTAAGTAGCTAGGTGGATGTCTTTCCCTTTGTAGTCTAGTTAAAGTATCCTTTGGTGGAGGCTCTTTTATTATTTGCTATTGTAGTTGTTTATTTTCATTTTCCTTAGTAATTTCAAATAGTTCAACCATTTTCTTAATTTTATCTAAATCATCTTTAAAGAAAAATGCATCTCTACTTTCAATGACTCCCACTAATCCATCACTATGGTGAATTACAAATTTATAACCAATAAAATTTTTACAATATCCAATCAAAGTACATTTTATTGATTTAGGATCTAATTTTCCTCTATTAGGTCCTAAAATTTTAACGTGAGCCGAACTATCCCAAGCTTTTAAGTGAGAAAGACTTGGTTTTGTACCTCTCCAAATTTCATATGGTGTCATTCCTATTGTTCTAGAGGGTGCTCTATTAAGAATATAAATGGCGGTAGAAATAGCTTCACCCCAAAAAGTAGTGCTTAAATGTACATGACTAAGTATAGATTTAACCATGTCAAAAAGTGTTCTATTTCTTCTTTCGGCTACACCGTTTTGTTGAGGTGTATAAGAAATTTTTAATTGATGTATTATTCCATTTTCTTTACAAAAAGATTCAAAAATTTCAGCCATGTATTCACTACCTCGATCCATCCTTAATATTTTAATTTTTCTACCTAGTTGGTTTTCTATTGCCGCCTTAAATTCAATAATTTTTGTAAGACATGCGATCTATTCTTTAGTAAATATATATAAACATATATTGAATAGTCATTGGTAAAAGTAATAAATATTTCATACCATGATGGATTTTAACATTTAGAGGACCACAAACATCCGAATGTATTAATTCTAACAAATCTTTAGCTCTTTCTAATTTTTCAAATGGCTTTCTAGTCATTTTTCCACTTATACAAGATTCACATGGTTTCAAGTCAAGATCTAAATTTGGAATCAATCCAATGTTAGCCATCTTTTTCATTTTATTATAATTAATATGACCTAATCTCATATGCCATAAAATAGAATTAACATTAACATTACAAGAGACATTGATATAAGTAGAAGAAGAATCAATTTTATTATTGTCACTAGCAACATTCAAACGGTAAAGACCATCAACTTTAATCCCCCATGCAAGTATACGATCATGTTTACCAATAGAAACTTTAGAAGACCGAAAACGAACTTCAAAACACTTATCATCTAATTGAAGCACAGACAATAGATTGTGCTGCATATTAGGTGTATAAAGTACATCAGTCAAGAGGAGGTTGATTTGCCCGGGTAACGAAATTCTCACAGTGCCAATTTCAAACACATTACAGTAAGTATTATTTCTCATGTATAATTGTGGTCGTCGATTTTCACCTGCTTTATTTCAACAAAATTATCTCTAGTCTTAGTCACATGCTGAGAAGAGGCAGAATTAATCCGCTAAGCAAGAGAGTCACAGTCTGCAAGAAGTGACTCAAAAACCACACACACAATGTCTCTTGATCTTTTAAAATTTTAACCATTATTCTTTTGTATGCAATTTTTTTTGTAATGACTGGACTGCCCACAGTTATAACAAGTACCAATTTGTTTTCCCGTAAAATTATTATGTCTCTTGAACTTGTTATATTTCTTATTATTTCTTT